AAGAAAAGAAAAGAAAAGAAAAGAAAAGAAAAGAAAAGAAAAGAAAAGAAAAGAAAGGGAGGGAGGGAGGGAGGGAGGGAGGGAGAGGGGGCCAGAAGAATACTCACCTTGGGGAAGTTGTCAATCTCCCTGAGCTGTTTTTCAATCTGGAGGCGCCCCCCGAATTGGGTGACCCCATACACAACCGTCATTACTGTCTGCTTCACCACCTTCCGAGTCACGAAGCCATTAAGGACTCGAGCAATTCTGACTCCATTTTCTGCATCTTGCTTCCGAAAGACCTCCACCTGCGTTCGAGAAAGCGTTAAGAATAAAATGGTAGATGCTTCTAAGCATAACTAGCCATGATCAAACAAACCAATGCAATGTGAGAATCAGGAAAAGAGAGTCCTGGTTCTACGACCTGTTTCAACCGAGCTATGGGCATTTGCTGCCAGAAAGTTTCTAAAATCTCAAAGGCCACAGCTGTGGCTAATATACTGCAATAGCCTGCTATTCTTGAGATAAACCATTCCTGAACATTTAGGTTCCATTCAGCTAGCCATCCTGCAAGATGCCAGTGGATTTACTCCTCTGGAATACATACAGCTGATGTTATACTCTTCAGAATATTTATTTAGGGGTGGGGTGGAAGAAGGCCCTTGTAGCCTGGAAGCCTTTCCTGCACGCTGGGAGCTGTCCACACCGAGCCACAACCTCACCTGCAGAGCCACTGAACTGTAGACGTCCTGAGGAACGTCAGATGAGGCTAGATTTACTGAGATGGCGCCAACTGTATCACGCCCGAGCGCTGCGTAGTGCTGAAGCCCATTGCAGGAACCATCCTGTGAAGGGAAAAGGTCACAAGAGAGAATTAGCGATGTTTTTCAATCTGGAGGCACCCCCCAAATTGGGTGACCCCATACACAACCGTCATTACTGTCTGCCTATAAACAACAGAATTCTTCTGTTGTTTATAAAGTGATTTATAAACAACAGAAGAAAGGAACTTTAGACAAAGTGTCATCTTGATTCTCCCCTCCCTGCCCTCGCCCCAAAAACACCCTGATTGGAGTCACATATTTCACTGAGGTATTAGCTTGAGTCACATAACACAGTGAATTCGCCTCCATTGCTACAGTGAATTCTACTGTGGCCCCTGAGATTTGCAAATAACTGTTTTTTTTTATTATTATTATTATTATTATTATTATTATTATTATTTAAAAATATTGTGAGATTTCCAAATACGAACTGATAAAATCTTGGCACCTCACACACCAGATTTAACTATGGTTGAAAAGAAGAAAGCGTGGATAACTGATGTGGCTCAGGGGATAATAGAACAGAAGACAAAGAATTGGAGAAGACCAGAAAGTATCAAGATCTCAAAATCGAAGCTGAAAGATTACGGCATAAATTGACAGTGGTGATCGGCAGACTGGGTACCATAGCAGAAAGCCTTGGGTGGCACTTAGAAAATCTGCGCAGTGAGGAAATTTCTATCTGTCAATTACAAAAGGCCACCCTCCTTGGATCCACACACAGGCTACGCTGATACATTACAACATTGTAGGAGTTCTTGGGAAGAACTCGATGCGAAAGAAGGCCAATCCCAGCAAGGTGCTGCATCAAAGCCTCATGAGGTTCACACCATCACTTACCCCCATACAAAATAGAGGGAAAAGAACCTCCAAGCACAGTACCATTTACATACCTGATGGACAGGGAAATGGGAGATGTATTCAGCAGGATTGGGAGACCGCACAGCCTTTGCAATTTCCATGGAACATGCCAAAACTTGCCATGGTTCATCAACATTCATCCACCACTTCTTGCCCTGTACAGGGGAAAGAAAACCATATTCAAAATATGACTGCAGGGAAGAATCAGCAAGTTTGGTACGAGTCATTATATTTCAAGGAAGTGGGTGCTGGAAAAGGGTAACCAAAACAGCAAGAGGAGATGATGATGATGATGAAGATGATCATCATCATCATCGGTTGGAAGACTCCAGAATGACTCTGGGCAGTTTACACTTAAAAAAAATAGAAAACAATACAAAAGAAATTAATATGCCTGTGGAGTCCTTGGGGTTCTCTGAGGTTGGTTCTTTTCTTGCAAATGTTTCATTACCTGGCTAGGTAACATCTTCAGTGCTAAAATGGGCTGGAGTTTGCTCTCTATTTATGTGCTGTGGCCTGCCTTGCCGGTGCTGGTGAGGGTGGGGGGTTTGTTTTGCTCCTCTGGTACTTCTTTGATTGGCATATGTTGACTGCTTGATTGTGTGCCTGGTGGTGACCTTTGCTTATCTGGGTGCTGATTGCTAGTGATTGATTGCTGGTGACTGATTGCTGGTGAGGCGATCTTCTGG